GGTGGGGGGGGGGGGGGGGGCGATGCACTGCACCCCCCCCAGGTCCCGGTGCAGCTGGGGGGGTAATGCGTACCCCCTTCCCGGTGTACACACATTTCCCAGTCAACCGGGAATGTGGGGGCTTAGTGCCCCCCTCCCCCAGCTCCATGCGGGATTTGGGTGCTGGTGGGATTTGGGGGGTTCCCTCGGCCCCCCCTGACACCCTCAGGGTGTCCCAGCCGTATGCGGGGTCCCAGTGCAAAGCGGGGGGGGGGTCCTGGTGCAGCGAGGCGGGTGCTGCCAGCTGCAAAGAGCTGGAGGCAGAAGGGGCGTCCCTGGGGGGATGGGGGCACCCTGAGCTGGGTGCTGGGGCCCATCGTGTGCCGGGGCCGGGGGGGTTTGCATGTTTGTGCACGAGCACTGGGGGCCTTGCAGAATGGTGCTGGGGACAGGGAGCCTTGCACGCAGGGGCAGGAGGGTGTCACGCATCAGTGCTGGAGGCCCTTGCACGTCTGTGCCAGGGGCACAAGGGCATTGCACAGTGGTGCCAGGGAGCTCTTGCACGTCAGCAATGGGGGCACGAGGGCATCGTGCATCGGTGCCTGGAAGGACTTGCACATCTGTGCCAGGGGCCCAAGGGCATTGCACGTTGGTGCTGGGGGCACAAGAGTGTCATGTGTCAGTGCTGAGGGCTCTTGCACGTTGGTGCCAGGGCCATGAGGGTGTCGGGCATCAGTGCTGGGGAACTTTTGCAGGTCAGGGACAGGGATCGTCGTACATCAGTGCTAGGAGGCTCTTGCATGTTGGTGCTGGGGACGTCAGCGTCTGGTGCATCAGTGCCAGGGGCACGAGGGCACTGTGAGTCTGTGCTGGGGAGCTCTTGCACATCGGTGCCAGGGGACAGGGAGCCTCACGCCTTGGTGCTGGGGACCTCCTCCACCTTGGTGCCAGGAGCAACTTGCATGTTGGTGCCGGGGCACAAGGGCATCGTGCATCAGTGCCAGGGACCTCTTGCACGTTGGTGCCAGGAAGGACTTGTGTGTCAGTGCCAGGGGCACGAGGGTGCTGCATGTCAGTGCCGGGGAGCTCTTGCACGCTGGTGCCGGAGACACAAGGCCCTCATGCAGGGTGGGAGGGTAGCAGCACCAGCCCACCTGTGGGTGCTGCCAGGCAGGGTCTGACTCCCTTCCCCTCTCCGCAGGAGTGCAGCGGCCTGGGGGACATGCCTGGCTCCTTCGTGCCCACGGTGACGGCCATCACCACCAGCCAGGACCTGCAGTGGCTGGTGCAGCCCACCCTCATCTCCTCGGTGGCCCAGTCGCAGCCCCTGGGGGCACCCATGGCGCACCCCCCTCCCACCGCCCCTGTCGATCCCTATGACCTCCCGGGACCCAGCTACTCCACGCCAGGCATGGGTGCCTTTGCCACGGGGCCAGCGGCGCCGCCAGCACGTCCCACCCGCGCCCGGCCCCGGCGCAGCCGCGAGGAGACGGTGAGTGGCATCCCTATCCCCGGGGGTGGGTGGGGACCCGGAGGGTGGTGGGACTCTGGGGACATGGGTGGCAGCTGGCTGATAGTCCTGTCCTTCTGGCAGCTGACACCGGAGGAGGAGGAGAAGCGCCGCGTACGGCGGGAGAGGAACAAGTTGGCGGCGGCCAAGTGCCGTAACCGGCGCCGGGAGCTGACGGATCGGCTGCAGGCGGTGAGTGCTTGGAGACACACTGGGGACGGTGGTGTCACCACAGCTGGGGGTGTCCGAGGAGGATGGTGGTGGCTTTCTAGGATGGTGATGTCCCCAAAGGCTGGGGACATCACAAGGGGATGGGTTGATGTCTACGGGGGCAGGTTCCCGGGGATGTTTGGGGACAGTGGTGTCCTCAAAGCCATGGGGACATTGGAAGGGGACGGTTAACTTGGGCTTGTTGGAAGGAGACAGGTCGATGCCTATGGGAGCAGATGGGGACAGTGATGTCCCCAGGACCAAGGGACACTGGAAGGGGATGATGATGATTGTAATGACAATGACACCCTTGGAGCTGGGGACATCACAGGTGGACAGACTGATGCCTGTAGACCCTGATTCCAGGGAGCTGGGGACATAAGATGGGGACAGTGGTGTCCCCAGGACCAAGGGATGCCGGAGGGGATGATGTCCCCAGGACCTGGCTGTGTTGGAGGGGACAGATGGATGCCTACGGGTGCACATCCTGGGGAGCTGGGGATGTTGGATGGGGACAACAGTGTCCCCATGAGCAAGGGACACTGGAAGGGGATGATGATGTCCCCAGGAGCAGGCAGCATCAGAGGGGAACAGATGGAGACCTAGGGATGCTGGAGGGGGACAATGCCATCCCCAGGAGCCAGGGACATGGGAGGAGGATGACAAAAGGTGCTGGAGGAGGACACTGTGTCTAGTAGCAGAGGACATCAGAGGGGGACGGATGGACCTCCAGGGATGCTGGAGAAAGGAAAGATCCCGTCCTGCAGGCCACGGGAGGGTGATGTCCCCAGGGCTGGGGTGGGGGGGACAGTGGTGTCCCCTGCAGCCCATCTCACTCCACCCCACTGCCGCCCCAGGAGACAGACCAGCTGGAGGAGGAGAAAGCCGAGCTGGAGTCGGAGATCGCTGAGCTGCAGAAGGAGAAGGAACGGTTGGAGTTTGTCCTGGTGGCCCACGCCCCCGCCTGCAAGCTCCCCTTCGAGGACGTCGGCTCCTTGGGTGCCGGCCCCGCCGAGGTGAGCACCCTGGGCAAGGAAGAGCCGGCGGGGACCGTCGCCTTCCTACCCCCGGGTCCGTTCCAGCCGAGCGCCCAGGGCCCCTTCCCCAGCTGCTGCTTCGCACCCGGGGTCCCCTCGGGGCCACCTAACCCATCCTATACGTCTTCGTTTGTGTTCACCCACCCAGAGGGAGCCACCTGCGGAGCCTCGCATCAGCGGAGCAGCAGCAGCGACCAGTCCTCGGACTCCTTGAATTCTCCCTCGCTCCTCGCGTTGTGAATGGGGTCCCCCCCAAAAACGGGCACCTCCTCCCTCCCTGGGTGGTGTTTTTTGTGGTTTTTGGCTTTTTTCCCCCCCTTTTTTTGGATCAGTTGGCCCAGGGGTTGGGATGTTGGTGAGGTTGAAGGGCAGTTTTGGCGCCTGGATGTGGGGTGTCAGCGATGGGGCCAGCATGTTGGAGGTGTCCATGATGTGTCTCTGTTGTTCCTGCGGCATCCCAGCCGCTTCAGAGGTGTCTGTCCCCAATCCCCATCATCTCGTGGGGGTTCATGCAGCATCTCCATCCCTTTGGAGATGTTCCTGCCCAATTTCCACCACCCGGGGAAGGTTCCTGTGGTGTCTCCATCACCTTAGAGGTGTCTGTCCCCAATCCCTGTTGTCCCATGGGGCTTTATGCAGCATCTCCATCGCTTCGGAGATGTTTCTGCTCAACTTCCATCCACCTGGGAAGGTTGCTTTATTGTCTCCATTGGCTGAGAGGTGTGTGTGCCCAATCCACACCATCCCATGGGGCTTTATGCAGCATCTCCATGCCTTTGGAGATCTCCATGCCTGATTTCCACCACCCTGGGAATGTCCCTGTGGTGTCTCCATCACTGTAGAGGTGTCCGTCCTTGATCCCCATCATCTCATGGGGATTCATCCAGCATCTCCATCCCTTTGGAGATGTCCATGCCTGATTTCCACCACCCTGGGAATGTCCCTGTGGTGTCTCCATCACCGTAGAGGTGTCTGTCCCTGATCCCCATCATCCCATGGGGATTCATGCTGCATCTCCTTCACTTTGGAGATGTCCATGCCTGATCTCATTCACCCTGGGAAGGTCCCTGTGGCACCTATGACACCTTAAAGGTGTCTGTGCCTGATCTCTGTTGTCCTGGGGAGGGTCCCTGTGCCATCTCCATCACTTTGGAGGTGCCCATGCTGTGTCTCCCTCACTCTGGGAAGGTTCCTGTGTCATTTCTGTTACACTGGAGATGTCCATGTCATCTCCATCATCCTGGGGGGGGGGGTCCATGTGGCATCTCCCTCACCCTAGAGGTGTCCATGTCACATTTCCCTTGGAGAGTCCCTGTGGCACCTTCATTACCTTAGAGGTGTCTATGCCACAACAGCACCATCCCATGGGGTCCTTGCAGTATCTCCATCGCCCTGGAGATGTCTCTGCTGTGTCCCCGTTGCCCTAGGGGGTTCATGCAGCATCTCCATCACCCTGGAGGTGCCTGTGCTGCATCTCCACTGTCCCATGGGTGTCCTTGCAGCATCTCCATCACCCTGGAGGTGCCCCTGCCAAATCTCTGTCACCCTGGGGGGGGTCCATGTGCTGTCTCCATCCCCTCCATGGTGTCCACACTCCATGTCCCGATTCCCCCTTGGGGGTCCCAGCCCCGCTGCTGATGCTGGGCTTCCAGGTGACCTCTCCAGCACCCATAATATTGGGTGGGCTCCCATCCTGCTTACGCTTCGCCAGCGTTGACTCTGTCCTCTCTCTATATTATATATATATTTTTGTTGTGTGGGGCTGCCAGCCCCCAGGAGATGTTTAATTTTTTATTATTATTATTATTATTATTATTGCCTGTGCTGTATTTGTGACTGTTCTGGGGCCGGCTTTTCCCCTTCGTCCGCGCTCCACTCATCCCAACGTGGCAAATAAAGCAGCTTCGGATCGGCTCCCCTGTCTCTTCTTTCTCGCCGGCAGGGTGGCATCAGAATGGGGACCCATGGCCACCAAGGGGTTCTTGTGGAGGAAATGGGTTGGGGAGCTTCTGGGGACACAGAAGCTGTGGGTTGAGGAGCTTTCCCAGGTCATGGGGACCTTGGGGACATGAGCCAAGGGTCACAGGGTCCTTGGGGACGAAGAGGGACAGGGACCACCTAGGTGATGGAGGCATGGAGCTGCTGGAGCCTGTGCCACAGGGAGCTTCTGCAGATGGAGAGCCCTTGGGTGAGGGGGAGCAGCGGGGACCAGGGCCAGCGATTCCTGGGGGCCAGGGAGCTTCGGGGGGACCAGGAGCCCCAGGCTCAGAGACCCTTGGGGACATGGAGCTGGAGGGGGATTGGCCCAGCGGCCTGCCAATCAACTGTAAAGATGGGCGGGCTCTGCTGCCACGGTTATAAAAGGACCGCGCCCTCCTAAGCCACGCCCCCATAGCGCAAGCCACGCCCCCGGTGCCTGCAGCCCTCCGGGTGGCCGCCAGGGGGACCCAGTCCCAAGGGGTCCTTGCCAGTTTGGGGGGGTCTCTGCCCAGTTTGGGGGTATACTCCCCCAATTTGAGGGGGGTCCTTGCCCAGTCTGAGGGAGTCCCTGCCTGGTCTGAGGGTCCCCTGCCCAGCCAGGTGCCATGAGGGGGCCATGCCAGGTTGGGGGGGTCCCTGCGGTCCCCCAGCCCTGCTGCCTGGGGGGGTTTCCTTCCTTCCCCCCAGGCCTTGACGTCAGGCACACGGTGATTCACAGCGGGGCTGGCACACAGGACATGCCAGGACACGCTAGGCACACCCTGGGGTGGGTGTCGTCATCCCCCGCCCCCGGGGATGCACTCAGGGACTGTGGGGACAATGCGGGTCCCTGTCCCCATGCACCTGCATAGTGACATCCCTGTCCCATGTACCTACATGGTCCCATCCCTGTCCCCATGTGTCCCTGCATGGTCCCATCCCTGTTCCCATGGTTCCAGACACAGCGACATCCTTCTCCCCACGTGCCTGGGCATGGTCCCATCCCTGTTCCCATGTGCCTGGGCATAGTGACATCCCTGTTCCCACATTCCCATCCCTGTGACACCCCCCCCCGTGCCATCCCATGCCCTGTCCCTGTGCAGGGGCCACCCCTGTCCCCCCCCAGGTCTCCCCGTCCCTTCCCGCTGCCCCCACCCGACGCTGCTGCTTCCGCCCCTGCCGCCGCCGTCCCCTTCCCACGGCACGAGGGACAGTGACCCTGGCCCCGCTCCCGCCGCGGCCGCACCGGGGCCACTTATTTTTAGCCCTTGCTCCTTCCTGGCCGGATCCGGCACTCGCCTATTTTTGGCA